ACGACGATGTCCAGGATGGCAAGCAGGACAGTGGCGATGATCATGACTCTTGTCTGGGGAGAGCCGCCGCCACCGAACTCCTCCTCCTCCCCCACCCCCTCCTCCCCCTCCCTCCTCCTCCTCCTCCTCCTCCTCCTCCTCTCCTCCTCCTCCTCCTCCTCCTCCTCCCTCCTCCCTCCTCCTCCCTCCTCCTCCTCCTCCTCCTCCTCCCCCCCCTCCTCCTCCTCCTCCTCCTCCTCCTCCTCCTCCAATCCCCAGCTTTCAGGGCTCTGAAGCGTTCAGACCGCGCGCTTGGTGAGCGCTGGGCCACCGCGGGCAGATCCCCAACGCGGGGCAGCCGTGGCCACGTCCCAGCAACCAAAGAGGACAGCACAGTGGAGGCCAGTCCACAATAAACCTTCTACAAGAAACCCAACCCTGAGACCCCAGGACGTCGATTGATTTTTGGTGTGGGAACGTCACGCTTTCCATCGCACAAGCATCGAAACCCAAGAAACCCAGGGCACCCTGGAGGCAAGCAGGGTATTTCTTGACATGGACCTCCACTGTACACTGAACTTCCCAGTCGCTCATGTACCGAGCGCAACTGGGACCTGCATGCCCAGTGCACGTTGCCCACGCGTAGCAACAACAAACAAAAAAGTGCAACGGCCTTGTGGGAGGGACGGAAGAGAGTACAAAGCAAGCCATCGCGGAAAAAACACCTTGACACATCGAGATGCGACGGCATGCCTCCCAGGGGGAAAGCATCAAGTCCTGAGGTCATGCAACAATCGCACGGGGCGCCCCTTTGAAAGCGCCAAGCGTTTTGCCCAGCCACTGGAATGAGCATGAACAAAGGCAGCCAGGACAAAAGGACGAACCTGGCACCAAAGGACGGTCAAATTGCTGGCTGGAAACTCAGCGCGCACGCGCATTTCCGTAGTTCTCAAGAAGACTCCATGTCATCGAAAAGTTTATGGATGACGTGAGCAATGCACGCCAGAAGCAAGTCGGCATGGAACCGCTTAAGGTTAGCTGTTGGTCGACCTTGATACCATCCCGCGACGTAGTCAGTGGACCTCTCAACCCTCTCACTGCACTCAAATGCTGAAGAACACTATTCAAGACACGGGCTGCCAAACGATGGAGCCAAAATTGTCAGCACCGCATTGTAGCCGGGCACGGTCACTGGAGCCGACGCGCCCAGGTAGGCTTAGGCTTGCTCCCCAATCGGGGCATGTCAAAAGCTCCGCGGTCGGCTCCACCGGCAGTTAGATAAATCCCAATATGCCGATGGCTACGCTGTGATACAACCATGAACAATCGCTGGCAAACCAAGCGCCAAATCTCAAGCAGTGGCGCATAGCTTCGAAAAGGGATAGCCAGCTTGCTCCCGGGTCGAGGAAGAACCGGAGGTGTTCGCACAATAAGTCGCCACAGTGTGAAGCACTCTCTTTGATAAGCCGCGCAACGCGTTCCCATAACATGTGCCACAAAGGAACGATCACATATATCCAGGGCGTGCCCGTGATATTGAAATTGTGTGCAAACTCGTCGAAGTGAAACGCTGCAAATAGGCCGTCTATCCACGTCTTCTCCACTAGTATGGCGATGTCGTCGGCAAAAGCTCGCACAGGGCAGCGGTCGACCAAGTTGTAAACTAGTGCTGGAAAAATGAATCGCTCGATGAGCAACGAAGAGCTCAGGGAACAACCCTGATACAACCATGCCGTAATCTCGAAAACTTCATGTTTGTTCATACCGAACCGCCAGAAATAGTTCCACGATGCAGCTGCTGCAATGCCGCGACGACGAGCGCTGGAATACCGATCGCCTCCAAAATCGTTCCGAGAAATGCGAAAGAAAAGCTTTTGGAAATGCGGCGGTGACGTCGTTCAGCAGACGGGCTGAGCAAGCATTGCCCGGCCATGCTATCGGCTGACCAGGCTCCTGCAAATCTCTAAACAAGGGCTCCCAACTTCGCGCTTCGCGCTCCGCGAAGCGCGAAGCGCGAATAACTTCGCGCTCTCGCGCCGCCCCCCCAAAGGGAGAAAAGGAGGACGAGGAGGAGGGGGAGAAGGAACGAGGACCGCGAAGCGCGAACCGCGAATAACTTCGCGCCCTCGTGGGAGCCCTTGCTAAATGGAGGTGCGGTGGCCATTTCGTGCCTGCACCTCGACAACGTTGTCGAGCATCTGCTGGCTCTTGGCTTGGTGAGGCCCCGCTGCATGTTACAGGCCCAATCTCTCTTGCCGCGGGCACTCAGGGCTGAGGTGTCACACTACGCGTCATTCACTGTGGTGAAACAACGTCGCTGCTGCTGGACGGAGCAGGCCGAATTGGAACTGAAGAGCCCCAGAGTTCAATATCCCGTCACCTACCAGAATTTCCCAGACAGAGCGACGGCGTCTCGGCAGCACGCGGAGCCTGGCGCCTAACGTCCCCTCTGGAGACCCCAACGAGACGACAGAGGAGAGCGCGGCCGTGGGAGTGAAGAAACAAATGGCAGAGGAAAGCCCACGAATGGGGACAAGCAGGAAGAACTGGGGATAATGCAGGATGACGATTATTAAACAAAATAGGGGGAACGATTAAAACAATAGATTCGTTGATTTCTATATGATTGTTCAACGGGAGGGGGACGACTTAAAAATATGTCTAGCACACGTCGGCTTCGAATGTTGAGTCGAATACTCATTGCACGTCGCCGTCAAATTTTACGTTGAATAATCACTCGACATCGAGTTCAAATTGCACGTCAATTACCAATCCTGCGTCAGCTTCAAACTTTTACCTAAAATACGCGTTCCACGGGCTTCTTAATCATCATGCCTAATGCTCATTTGACGTCGGATTCAAATGTTACGTCAAATACACACGCCAAGTCGAATTCAAGTTTTACAATAAAACTTCGACTTCACGTCGGATCCATGTTTTACGTACACCCACCATTTTACAGACGGCAGGGGGGGAAGGGTTCTTCTAATCAACCTCTGGGGCGCTGCCGACGCACCACGACCCCCGGTCATTTATTAGTCGTGACCCTACATTACCAAAAACTACCGATATTGCTACTCCACGGACCTCTTCCGGGGTGCGTTCTGACCAGAATTTCGAGGCGAATCTAGCGGTGGCGACAGGGGCCTCCCGCGAGGCACAAAAAGGGAACAACGAGAGAAAGGTAGAGAGAGGTACGGGTACCTTTTCCTCCTCTGAGGAACAGGACCGAGGAGGAGGAGCGAGGACCCCACGGGAAGCCCGAGGCATTCCTCAGAGGACAGGCGCGTCACTGACGGGCAGAAGCACAGGGCACGGAGCCTGGGCCACACACAGCAGAAAATACAGCCAACCCGTATAGTGGGGACGCGCGGTAAGGATGGAAGGGCCTGGGAGGCTGATGTTGAGGCTTTTCGAACGGGGCTGGCCAGCGAAAAGCGTTGAGGATGGGGCGAAGGTGCAAGGATGCAAGGGGACCCTTGGGAAGGTTGCCCATCACGAAACAGACCGTGGTCTCTTCACCAAACAATCAATCCAGCAGACTGCGGGAGGCACCAGAAATCAATGTGCCAAGACGATCAAATACGCAAAAGCAGAGGTTGTCACGATATGTCGTCAATCTCGCGTGTGTGGCGTTCTGTTGAAGACTATGGTTCGCTATGGTTGGCATCGTCACGTAAAAAGCGGTAAGCATGTTGGCCTGCGCCGTAACGAACGCCGGGCCCGCCAAGGAGATCCCACCCATGACGGGTGGTAGGAACCAATCGAAGAAATAGAGTACCCTGCCCCTCCCCAACCCACCCCACCCGCCCACCACCACCACCACCCCAGTCCAACTTCCAGGTGATGAATGTACTGCTGTGGATGCCACGACAGTGGACACCCTAACAGTCCTATCGCTGAATTTAAAAAGTGTTTAAAATGTCGGACAAATGTTCTATACATGTTTCACACATCTGAAAATTATTTGGTAACATGCTTCCTCTCCATTGACGTCCTCCACAAATGTACCGGTTCTGCAGATTCCCTTGACGAGACCCGAGCAGGTGCAGGCACAGTACAAGCACACACACACACACACTTCAGCTGTTGATGGCTGACGCCATAAGTCGCACAGTGGCTCACAACACGGTTACCCGAGTCATGACGCTGAGATAGAAGTCGAGGTTAACGAATGTGTAATTCTCTCGGCTGTCTCTCGCGCTCGTTCCACGATGCCGCGTACTGGTGGTATCCAGGGTCGTGGAGAGATGGATGATCTGATGAACAGCGATGGGCTAGTTGTGGTGTGATGCTGTGGTCACTGCAAGCTTGGTTGACATTGTTCGTTGCTCCTTGCATCGGTCCTCGATATTGATTGTGATGGCTATGTCTGCGGCTCCGAATAACCCCTCAACGTATACCTAGGTCCAGGCTAAACTGCATCACAGTTCGCACTCACGCCCATGCTGTGATGGTGGCGATGGTGATGGTGATGGTGCTGGTCGTGAGGACAAGCAGGGCAAGTGGGACAAAGGGGAAGCATGACGTGGAAGGAGAGGCGGTTCCCCAAAATCCTCGTCCACATCCAGGAACCCCCCTCTACATCGCCACAGTTATCCTCATCCTCGTCATCGCACACCTCTGCGCATGTTTGGAAAAGAGAATAGCGGGACCATGCGTAGCCGTATCGCACCGAGCGTTGGTCTCTTATCCTCCTCGTTCCTTATGCCTCCTTCTCCTCCTCCCTCTGCTATCTGCCCCGCCTCCTTCTCCCCCTCATCCCTCCTCCTCCTCCTCCTCCTCCTCCTCCATCCTCCTCCTCTTCCTCCAGCTCCTCCTCTTCCTCCTCCTCCTCCTCTTACTTGTCCGTGCCTCACTCACAGCCCCTCCAATCCCGTGGATCCCACTGCGCTGGGGCCGCGCGGCGGCGTCGAGGGCGCGCCGGGCCCGGCGCCCATGCGGACGCCGAGCCCGGTCTTGGTGCTCTGGGACTCGACAACGAGCACGAAGCTCGACTTGCCCACGAGCGAGAGCATCTCCTGCGCGCGGCCGCGCCACGAACGGCTGAGGAGAGGAAGGGCAGGAGGAAGGAGGACCGGGTGGGGGAGGAGGGAGGCAAGGCGCCCGAGGGAGGAGGGAGGAATGATGAACGAAGCGGACTGAGATTGGACACGCAGGGAGGAGGAGGAGGAGGAGGAGGAGGAGCAGGAGGAGGAGGAGGGTAGGGGGAGGAGGGTGCAGCAAGAGGAAAGGGCCTGCGATGACAACCATGCGTCATTGAATCATGAACCCTCCGTGTTGTTGCAGCGCTTTCCCCCTAGCCCTCTGGGCGCAGGTGGTTTAGCGCGTTTTCTCTTCCATTCTCCCCCCGCTTCTTCCGCTCAGGAGAAGGGTTCAGCACACCTCATCATCAACACACGCCCCACCCCCAGCTCCACCAGCGACTAAGCCGGGCCAGTTCTGACCCCCCCCTGAGCAATCCCTTGCAAAAAAACAATGCAAAAACAAAAAAAAAAACACTGTTCACCAAGATCTCGCTCGTACGCAGACGCCCACGATCACTGAGCATCGACTCTCTTCCGGCGGGGACGGCAGGGGGGGGGCCGGCAGATGGCCCGCAGTGTGCCACGCCAACAGCCCCCAACCGTCCTTGCTCGGGGAGACGTAAGACCCGGGTACGGGGGACTCGGAAATCCCCGACGAGGTCGTCAAAAAAATGACGAGGCCGAGCCTGCATTTTGACGAGGCCTCCCGCTGCAGACATCCCACGAAACTCCTCCTCGTCAAAATCCGAGTCGCGGTCGTCAAAAAACGATGGCGAACCCGAGTCCCGGCAAACCCGGGTCTTACGCTCCCCCGACTTGCGAAAGCCACTGCAACGTGCACGTTGCACAACAAGCGGACGCCCCACGACCGCCAGACGGCGGGCGGGGGGGGGGGGGCGCAGATTGCCTGCCGTGTGCAGTGTCAGCAAGCACACACACACAACCGATCCCTTGCTAGTGCACCTTGCCCCAAAATCCAGATCGTGGGCGGGCCGCGATCCATCGCCACCGGTTGTTGACGGGGGGGTGGGGGCGGCGGCGGACTGCCTGCTGTGTGCAACGCCAACACTCCCAACCCAGCCCTTGCAACAAAAACAAAACAGCACAGCACTTTGCAGTAGCATCTCGAAAACGCGCGGACAACAGTCATTCACGTGCCCCACAACCCGCCGTCACTCTGCATTGGTTTTTGACAGGGATGATAGGGCGGATGGGGGCACATAGCCAAATGTGGACCACCTGGCGTGCATGGCGCACGTGGCATGTGCGGGGCAATCCGCGGCCTTCGCGCACCTGTCTGGCGTCTGCATTGGTTCTCGATGGTTGCTTGTGGCGGCCCCTGCCTATGCTGGGACTCGGGTGCTACTCTTGTAGTGGGAAGGCGGATGGGATTGATCGAAACCGTTTGCGGCGTTTTCGCTGTGAACTTGCTCACTGTTCCAAATTGGTATACATCCCCTCCCCCAGGCGACCGGCAGCCAACCAGAAACAATGAGGACCCCATGAGGGTCCCCCCGACCATCCATCTGTCAAACAACAATACAAAGTATGGGGCAAAGTCGGGAGTCATGGTCGTGACACCCGTGGGCATTTTGTATTGTTTTCCCCACATCCTAAGCGGGGTTTTTGTTTTCTCTGCCCCCCCCCCGCGCAAGATCTCTTCTCCCCCCTCTCGTCCTCACCAAGAACTCACGCAGTCGCACACCCACATCATGATCACCACCGCATGATTCTCATAAGTTACACCTTCACTCACACTCCCTCGATCACTCTCATTCACTCAGAACTTACGCACTCACTATCCCACTCACTCCCGCACTTCTCCTGAGTGGCTCACCCATTCACACATCACTACCACTGACCGAATTGTGAGAAGTCTCCGGCGGGAGCCACCTCCCCGAGTGGCCCGCAGATCGTGTTACTAACCCGAGCGGGTCACCGGTACCATGCATCTGTCGTCACTGTTGGCCTCCTCGGGCCTGAACGTGGAGGAAGCCTCGAGCGGGACCCTCGTCAGTGAATGAACTTTGAGGAGGTCTCACGCGGGAGCCCCCTCTTTATGGGGCCCGCAGCTCACGTTACGAACCCGAGCGGGTCAAAACAAACCTCTCACTGTCGTCACTTCAGTCCTCCTCAGGCCTGAACGCGAAGACAAATCTCGACTGGGCGCCTCGTCTTTGAGTGAATTGTGAGGAAGCCTCAAGCTCAAGCGGGAGCCCCCTCTGTATGGGGCCCGCAGCTCATGTTACTAATTCGAACGGGCCATCGGAACCCTGTATTTGTCGTCATTTCTGGCCTCCGCAAGCCGAATCTCGAGGATGTTTCAGGCGGGAGCCTCGTCTGTGAGTGAACCGTGAGGAAGTCTCAGGCGGGAGCCCCTCCCTATGGGGCCCACAGCTCATGTTACTAATCCGAGCGGGCCATCGGAACCCTGTACCTGTCGTCAATGTTTGGCTCCTCAGGCCGAATTCTGAGGAAATCTCAGGCGGGAGCCTCGTCTGTGAGTGGCTTGCGTGGAAGTGTCAGGCGGGAATCTCCGGAGGTCGCGGGTAGTTCGGGTCCGAGATGGCCCCAGCGAGAAGACTTCGTTGGCTTGGGGCCTATGTGGGCCCCACGGGAGACAGTGCTAATGGAAGGCCCCCCGACTTGTTTGATCGATAGCCTCCAAGATGCCGGCGACCCTTGATTAACTGAGAGACAACGATCGTTAAAGGCTTAACGACTTCTGCCGTCCTTCGACTCGTGCTGGAGCGGCCGCGAATTGCTCCAACTTTTCCTGGAGATCTCTGGATTTATCTGGATTTATCCTGATGTATCTCGATCTGCCTGGATTTACCCAGATTTATCTAGATTTATCTGCATTTACCTGGATCTATCTGGCTCGACTCCCACAAGTCGATTGGCGAAAAGTCGATAAGCCCTTAGGGAAACGATAGGGGAGGTTAGGCAAAGGGGGGGGGGAACACCGACCCGAAATCGGCGATACATCGCAGATAGATCGGCAAGAGGGCCCCGATAGTGAATTCGCCCATGCCTAGGCAGGTTGGGGCCATCGGGCCCCTAGCGGAGATCCATGGGCGATTGGGGGTGGATGCGTCATCCCGTGTGCCCATTCCCCCCCCTGTCACCAACCTTGCTTCACCCCCCCCCCTCCCCGAGCTCCCCTCCCGCAAAGAGAACAGGGGGGACCTGGAGGGGGACCTGGAGGGGGCCCCAGACCCCCCGGTGCGCTCGCACTCCCCGGCGCCGAAGACCCTCTGCACCCCACTCGGGCAGGTGGTAACTTGGCCAGCGCACGGCGGTCGACCATAGCGAATAGGGTCGGAGGCTGCACCATAATTGAACCAGCAACGCTTGTTCACATTAAAATCCAGAACTAAAAATGATTATTGAAGAGACATTCAATCCACAATTGCCAGATAATTGAGGCGGAGAGGAATGTACGTCTTGAAATCCGGATTCGGAAAGGATTATACCCATTCAAATCCAGCGTTAAAGCGGAAGCCGAAACACAGTGCGCTTCAAATCAGAATTGCCCGGGAATTGAAAGAGAGAGGGACTCACATGATGAAATCCATAATGAGCAAAGATCCCGAATAACAGAGATATTCAAATGAGAATTGGATTGGAAACGAATGCGCATATTGAGTTTCATATTGAGACAGGGTTATGTGTACAAACCCCGATTCCAATTCTCAGAAAAAATCAAACAGGAATTGCCAGACCATTGATTAAGATATTAATCCATAGATTGAAATCAAACCTGGAAAAAGGAGTTCACTAATTCTATCCCAGAGCCAGAAAAGGATTCCAACGCAAGGACCCCGACGATATGGGACTAGAACCATCGCGCGCGCTTCGCGCGCGCTGAGGTTCTAGATGGTTGAGCGCTGACCGCATTGAGACAACAAGGCAGTCATGAATAATGAAATCAACATTCTCTGTTTCCTCCCGCCTCTTCCTCATGCCTCCTCCTCCGCTCTCATCGACCGGTCGACTGGTGATCTGTTGCCAAGCTTCTTGGGGACCTCTTGACCCCTCCTGGGGGTCTCCTGGGGCGAAGATCTCGGGTTCTCGGTTCACATTCTCGATAGTGGCCTTCGGCCCATCCCGCCACCGTGCCTGGGTTGTGGGTTAGAGGCCCCTTGGAAGTTCGTTTGGGATTCGTGGGAGGCTCCCCAGGGGCCACTTGAAGGCAATTTTGGAAGCCTCTTGGGGGCCGTTTGGGGTGCTCGTGGGGCGTCTTTTCGGGCCCCTTTGGGGCCTCGTGGGCCCTGGGGCCTCTAGGGCTCTGTTGGGGGCCTCTTGGGGCCTCCTGGAAGCCTCTTGGGGCGGAAGGCTCGAATGGTCGGTTCGTGTTCCCACTCTTGGGCCCCTATTGGGGCCGTCTTGGGGCCCTCTTGGGCGATCTTGGGCGCCTCGTGGGCCGTCTTGGGGCGCTCGTGGGCCGTCTTGGGGCTCTCTTGCGCTGTCTTGGCGCCCTCTTTGGGTGCATCTTGGGCCGTGTTGAGCTGATTTCTGGGGCCTCGCGGGCTGTCTTGGACCGTCGGAAGCACGAAACAGCGAGAACACGAAAAACCTTCAACAACCATAGAAACACATACTTGTTTCGCCTCCTGAGTGCCTCGTGGGAGCTCTTTGGAAAGCATATTGGCGGTCTTGAAGCCCTCTTTGGCTGTCTTCAAGCCATGTTGGATCAATTTTGAAACGCGTTTGTGCGGTCTTGGGCTCTATTGGAGTGCTCTTGAGCCATCTTGGCGCTCTCTTGGACGTCTCTCGGCCACCTTGACGTTTTTTGGCGCCCCCCGCCGGGCCCGAAACGGCCGGAAGATAAATCACTGCACTTTGGAGGGCCTGGGCCCCCCTACCCATGAATATATATATATATATATATATATATATATATATATATATATATTATATATATATATAATATCATCATCATCATCATCATCATCATCATCATCATCATCATCATCATCATCATCATCATC